GGGACTAACTTATATTCTGCCCACTATTTTTAAGAGAGAAATGAAACAGTTTGCTCCATGTTTATGATACAGAAAGCTAAGTTATCTAATTTTGTGTTTGGTAATCTGGTCGACTGAAAGAGGTTCAAAAATCGCGGCTGATATTACTTCCAATTCATCCATCACATCAGGAATGATAAAGTCCCTTTCAAGGAAAGCCTGTTCACTCAGCGGCCATATTTGCAACACCTCTGGAAAGCTGTTTCGGGCATTCAAAAAAACAACTCCTATCTACATGAATGGGGAATTCTTGAAATCTCAAAAATGGCTTGCCACACTAACATTTAAAGGGTTAGTTCACCCAAAAATGTAATCCGGTTCTGTTGTGGTGCTTTAAAACATTGTTATTAACCCACTGATGTCACATGGACTACTTTGATGATGTCTTTAGTTCCTTTATGGACAAGGACAGTATACCGTACACACATTTTCAATGGAGGGACAGAAAGCTCTCGGACTAAATCTAAAAAATCTTAAACTGTGTTCTGAAGATGAACGGAGGTCTGACGGGCTTGGACCGACATGAAGGAGAGTCTTTAATGACATCATTTTTATTTTTGGGAGAACCAACCCTTTGAATAAAATATTTCAAATCAGCAATACAATCTGGCAAACTGTTCCATAAATGTTGTTTCTTATGCTCAAATAGCATTTAAAAAAAGCTTCTACTGACGGCTGCGGTGATGCGATAACTTTACCAATCAGCGATTGGCTCTTTTATTTAGAAGGCGGGACTTATTCCACCATTTTGCGCATTACACTTTCTCCCATTCATTCATCTCGCGAGTCATATGAGTGCACCATCTTTCTATATATTAAGTCTTTTCATGCGTCCCAATTTGTATATGATCTATCCTAAATAGTATTCGAAATTAGAATCCCAAATCCTAGTATGTTGAAGTGAGTATTTCAAAGATCTACTTTTTCCAGTTAGTGCAGATCCGTGCACACTTTAATGGCTAATACTACCCACAACCCATTGCACAATGGACGAGGCTTCCATTAGAACTACAAACACAAATAAAATGTGTTAAAAAACTACAAACCCAGGCAGATGTGCGAGTCTGATGGTCAATAAGAGGCGTTTAGATAAAGGGGTTTGAGTGAATAATAATTAGTATCTCTAACCTCACGAAATATCTTAATTCAATGTTATTGTGAACTTTTGAAAAGATACATTTAGCCATTAACTTGGAACGTAGCGTTTGTGATACGTCAAGTCGAGTGCATTGCATTGTGGGATACAGTTTCACATGCAGCTGCTCATTGTGTCATATCGGTCATCTGGGTGTTGTTGTTGCGTATCATAAAATCACATTCATAACAACTGTGCACAGTATGTGTGCATATAATATAGCATGCTATTCCAAACATAGCTGGACTGGAAATTTTTAACGCAGAAGTGTGGAAGAGATAAACAGTCGGCCAAGGTTTGTTTTTCTTGACAGCTTGCTACCTACTGTAAACTAAATTGCATTAGCCAGATTCCTCTCCTAAAATAGACTTGATTTTATTATTTGGTGTTCCGAGTGTAGCAGCACACATTTCAAGACTCAAGATAAATGTCAATACATTTAAGCATCATGAAATTATGAGAACGTTGTTTGATTTAATAAATCTGGACTGTGTCCGGCTTGCATAATCAATTATAAGACATATCGAAATACGGTGAAAAGCAATAAAAAATAAAGTAGATCATCTTTAATGAAACGTTAAAAAGCAGACGGGCTGCTGGTTTATCAAGCGTTGTGCCAAACTAATCTGATTGATGTCTGTTAATTCCTCTGAAAACCGCCTAAGATGAGGTTTTATTTGCAGTGGAAGTTTTGCCAGAGTCGGTCATGATGGGACGAGAAACATTAGCCGTTAAGCTCAAGGATTCATCTCCGCAGGACACCACCAGTACAAATGTAGGTCAGAAAACTTGTGTGTGCGTGTGTGAGAGAAACAACTCTGTTACACACTTGGCACTGGCCATTCACTCTCAGAAAAAAAGGTACAAAAGCTGTCACTGGGGCTGTACCTTTTCAAAAGGTACACTTTTGTATCCAAAGGCTACATATTGGTACCTTAGTGGTACATATTAGCACCTAAAATGTACATATTATCACCTAAAATGTACATATTAACACCTAAAACTGACATATTACCATCTAAAATGGACATATTAACACCTAAAATAGACATATTAGCTCATGAAATGCACATTAGCACCTAAAATGTACATATTAGCACCTAAAATGTACACATTAACACTTAAAATGTACATATTAGGACCTAAAATGTGCATATTATCACATAAAATGTACATATTAGCACCTCAAATGTACATATTAGCACCTAAAATGTACTTATTAGCACCTAAAATGTAAATATTAGCACCTAAAATGTACACATTAACACTTAAAATTTACATATTAGCACCTCAAATGTACATATCAGCACCTGAAATGGACAAAAGTTTACCTTTTGAAAAGGTACAGCCCCAGTGACAGCTTTTGTACCTTTTTTTCTTAGAGTGTTAGAGTGTTGATTCCTGTAGTTTACATGATGAACTGGGACCAAATCTGTCCAAAAGCCTGACCTGATGCATGCACTTGCATACGTATATACGCCTTTCGTAAATGACGACATTATTTTCATTTTTCACGTGAACTATCTCTTTAAGAGGACCATCATGAGACACTCTTCATGATCTACGGCTGTTTTGACTCTCACACCATGAATCCAGATCATCTGTCTGGACTTGCCCACATGCCGACCTCTCAAAGGAAAAGCGATCCGACTTCACACTAAGGTCGGAAAGAAAAACAGGGCTTGTTTGTTTGCACCGACATCAACTTTGGAGGCAATAAAATGACATCATGATGATCGGCCTGTGCTTATCATAAAGTTTTTATATTGCCTGTCGTCGTGAACTTTGTCCACATTATCAAAGCTTGTGATTTCTGTTTATGCACATGCAAATTCAGCGCTATCCCTGTGATTGGTGACAACCACGTCGCATCTACTGTAGTTTTTTGCAGAGGTTGGCATCATTAGTGATTATATGGTCACATGCATCATTCATTCACTGGCCTTCATCTGTGTTTCATGTTTGAAATGCACTAAACAAGACCAAATCAATCAGGCCCACAGTTATAAACCACAGCAGGACGACATGCACCTGCATTCAGAAGTGCGATTGCTAAGATTTAGTAAGGTTTTTGAAAGAGTTTCTTCTTCTCACCAAGGCTGCATAATGTGATCTGAAATACAGTAATATTGTGAAATATTATTACAATGTAAAATAACTGTTTTCTATGTGAATATATTGTAAAATGTAATTTATTTCCTGTGATCAAAGCTGTATTTTATACAGCATCATTACTCCAGTCTTCACAGTCACATGATGCGTCGGAAATCATTAAAATATGGTCATTTGCTACTCAATAAACATTTATTGACAATGATCAATGGTCAAACCAGTTGTGCTGGTTCATATTTTTGTGGATACACCCTAAACCTTTGAACCAGTGTATAGACCATTTCATAAGATGTAAACAACACTGGTCCAGAAGCACTTCCTGTTTCAGTTTTTTAAACACTACATAAAAGCTGGGATAAAATACAACCAACAGAACATTTAAAACTGAATCAAAAAGTTAAACAAACATCTTTAAGATGTTTTCTTTACATGTGAAATAAAGAAAACAGTTACAAACTGAAACAGGAAGTGTTTCTGGACCAGTGTTGTTTACATCTTGTGAAATGGTCTATATAATTTTATGTCTCAGATGTACATCTTTGTCTTAAAACAATAGAGTTTGGGATTAATGAATAATAAAAGAGTGAATCTTGTTAAAAAACATGATGCTGGTGTACGTTTTCCTTTTTACAGAGCGCCTAAATGAGAATCCAAATTGAAAATAATGAAAATTAAACACACAAAACAATATCTGGATGCATTACAACAATGAGAATTGAATGGGTAGAAGTGCACAACTTATAACTGTCATAGAAACAGGCTTGATTTTCTTTGCACAAAACATAATTTCTTACTTTTTTCTTTTGATTTTGAAGTGGTTTATATTCTGTCGTGACAACTCGGGAGTGTTTGTCTTGGTAATTATGACCATGTTTGACATTGGTCTTGGTGGAATAGATCCGCTACACTTCTGCTGTTGTTATTGCAAGTACGGGACTCGCTAGTGCCAATACACACACGACACACTGCCGTGTGCTGCTGCTGTACAATATAACGTACATGACCATCATTGAGTTTAAAGGTCACTTAAAAACTTACTTATTTGCATTAGCATTTGACTGTCCATGAGTATGTAATGATGTAATAGATTTTTGGAAATAGGTCATGGAAATGTGTAAAATTTGTCCATGCTGTCTCCATAATTTGTTCATGATTATTCAATTTATCCATAACCTGATTGTCGATGAGTACGTATTGGTGTAATTGGTTTTTATTGAGAGGTTGAGATAGAAAGGCGTAGAATTTAACTGTGATTCACTGATTTTTTATCCTCGCTAATACCGGCCTTTGGGCTAATTTGGGTACATTTATATTTAAGAATGTTTATTAATGTACACTGTCCCTTTTCTAAATAAATAAATAAATCCTCTGTACAGCATGTTATGTACAGTTTATTTTATTTTATCTTATGTACAGCACTTTGGTCAACTCCTGTTGTATTATTATGTGCTTTATAAATAAATTAAAACCTTGAACATGATCTATACAGGTGGAGCTGGGGAAGGTGGAGGGTTTCTGAAAGCGCGCTGCAACAGTATTTGAGGGCTGAGCTGCGAGCTCATTGGCTACTGATACAGAAGGAACCAATCAGCTTTGCCCTATAGAGAATGATATGATTGCAAGCATCTAGGGTTTCATGACAGACTTTTTATATATAGCAGGTCCATGAATGTGATCCTCTCTGAAGGTGCGTTTGCATGCGTGCGATACTCACTGGTGACGCTGTTATAGCTACTGATGGATGAGGTTATAGGTGGAGTCTCATCGGAGTCCGTATCGTCGTCCTGGGAGCAGCCGGCCTGGATGGCCCTCAGGTAACTGTGGCTTCGAGACCGGAAGCAGGTCGGTGTGGGCAGATCCAAGGCCTCCACCGTGTGAGAGTCCACCTGGCCGTAAGCCGCGTGTCCCCCGTAGCACTGCTCCACCTGAAAGGACACATGAAGGTTGAATCGACCCGCGTGAAGGATGCGCGGGGAGAGATGGTGAGCGGACATGAAGAGCAAACGGCGCTAAATCCAACAGCAGATTTCCATGCTTTAGTGAATCTTGACTGGTTTCCATTGGGTCTATGCAACAAATATGGCATAAAAAATAACAAAGTTTAAGTTTTATAAGCTCAAATGCTCGCCTTGCTCTGTTCTGTGATGAGTGTTCATGACTCTCCTGTTCGAACTTGTTCATCAAAATGAACAAATCAATTCATTTTTTAATTATTTTCTAAATTATGATATTTTGTAAAGAGAAAACAGTAGCCGTTTCAAATCTAGATTTGTAAAAGGGGAAGGTAATTATAAGTTAGCTTCTTCCTTCACATTTTTTTTCTATATTCTTTTTCTTCTCTTTTGAACATGCTGAGATTTTGTTTTTATTATTTTTTGTTTAAATATGCTCTGTTATCAATGACCATGTTCTGAAGAGGAAAAGGAAATGAAAAGAAATAAAATTATTCATTCATTCATTTTGAGTCAATTTGTTCGTTTCATTCGTTGAATGAACCATATGACTCGGAAAAAGATTCGTTCATTTTGATGAACGGGAGAGTCACAAACGTGCGTCACAGAACAGAGCAAAGGCGAGCATTTGAGCTTATAAAACTTAAAATTTGTTATTTATTTATTAAATAAGTGATCGTTTCGCTTGATAAGAGCCTTATTCATCGTCTGGAATCGTTTGAACAGTTTGCAGTTTGCACTGAAACTGTCTTTTTGACCTTGAACCGTTTGGTTCCCATTGAAGTCCATTATATGAAGAAAAATCCTGGAATTTTGTCCTCAAAAACCTTAATTTCTTTTCGACTGAAGAAAGAAAGACATGGACATCTTGGATGATATGGGGGTGAGTAAATTATCAGCAAAAGTTTTTTTCAAAAGTGAACTACTCCTTTAAATATTTATATATTTGTAATTTATTAAATAATATAATATACCTTCCATAACTTAAAGGGTTAGTTCACCCAAAAATGAAAATTAAGTCATTAATAATTACTCACCCCCATGCTGTACCAACCCCGTAAGACCTTCGTTCGTCTTCGGAACACAAATGAAGATATTTTTGATTAAATTTGAGAGCTGTATAACTACCACATTGGCTCCTAAAGGACTGCCTCTTGACGGCCCAGAAAGTCAATGAAGAAAATGTTTAAATATCCCAAGTGACTACCGTGGCTCAACTATATGTTTATCAAGCGACGCGAATACTTTTTGTGCGAAAAAACAAACAAAAATAACGAGTTTATTCGACTATTTCTTTTCTTCCTTGTAGGCCAGAAACGAGACTTCCTTATAGATTTCCACGACGCATGCGCGAGAATTGCGATCTGAAGTAGTGTAAGCTGGTGTGAGCAGATCGCAATTCTCGCGCATGCGTCGTGGAAATCTAAGGAAGTCTCGTTTCTGGCCTACAAGGAAGAAAAGAAATAGTCGAATAAACTCGTTATTTTTGTTTGTTTTTTCGCACAAAAAGTATTCGCGTCGCTTGATAAACATATAGTTGATCCACGGTAGTCACTTGGGATATTTAAACATTTTCTTCATTGACTTTCTGGGCCGTCAAGAGGCAGTCCCTTAGGAGCCAATGTGGTAGTTATACAGCTCTCAAATTTAATCAAAAATATCTTCATTTGTGTTCCGAAGACGAACGAAGGTCTTACGGGGTTGGTACAGCATGGGGGTGAGTAATTAATGACTTAATTTTCATTTTTGGGTGAACTAACCCTTTAAGCAGGACATACAAATTATTTACAAAGGGATTTGCCTTTTCAAGCAGCCAGTGTAGGATGTCTTAAACCTGAAATATAATAGTCCTCTCTTTTTTTCTCCAAATTCATCAGGAAGAAATAGTCCTTCTGTGATTAAAATGACCTTTCCAAACTATCCTGCAACCAAAACACAATCACGTTTCAATCTCTCTCGAAGGAAAAGCAGCGGTAGTTTTCAAGCCTGAATGAGCGTTAAGATGGTGAAGAGTAAAGAGAAAGTTTGTGTTTGTTCATCCAGCAGTTGACACAACAGATTTACCTGACAAATAAACCTGACAATTAAAGGCAAACAAATAGACAAACATACCAAACTGCAGTAATTAAAGTGAAAAAGCTCATTGAATTAAAAAAAGAAGTCACAAGATAAGTCCTAGGAATTTTTTCCCTTTGATTCACCAACATTGACTCTCCAACAGCGTTCTTCCAATCTCAGAAATAACTTCTCCATGAAACATCCATCAGCCTTCACAGTAATCCCAGTAGGCAAAGTAGATCTTCAAAAAAATCAATGCTCTTTCCTCTTTAGAAATCATCAACATTTCAGACCCTCGACTGGCTTTCTTGATGTCTTCATCAGCATATTGAGAGGGAATGTAGGCGAACAGCCAAGTATCTCCTCCCGATAACATGCCCTCAAACTGATTTCCCACCCTCCACGTCTCCTTAAACTAGCTTTAGGATGTCTTACAGCATTTTTAATCTGGAACACTCTGTTCCTGAGGTCGAGTGAACAGCAAAACCTCTCTGACACATTTCAGCGTTTTCTCTGCGAGTGCGCTTTACAAGACTAAACAGAAACATCTCAGTGTGGACGGAAGGCCAAACCGGAGAGAAAAATATACGTTTTCAAATGAAAACGTAATAGTGTGGACATGGCCGTAATTTCCTACACTCCCAGAAAAAAAGGTACAAAAGCTGACACTGGGGCTGTACCTTTTCAAAAGGTACACTTTTGTACCCAAAGGCTGCATGTTGGTACCTTAGTGGTACATATTAGCACCTAAAATGTACATATTAACACCTAAAACGTACATATTAGCACCTAAAATATACATATTAGGACCTAAAATAGACATATTAGCTCCTGAAATGTACATATTAACACTAAAAATGTACATATTAGCACCTAAAATGCACATATTAGCACCAAAAATGTACATATTAACACCTAAAACGTACATATTAGCACCTAAAATGTACCTATTAACACTTAAAATGTACTTATTAGCACCTAAAATGTACATATTAGCACATCAAATGCACATATTAACACCAAAAATGTACATATTAACACCTAAAATGCACATATTAGCACCTAAAATGCACATATTAACGCCAAAAATGTACATATTAACACCTAAAACGTACATATTAGCACCTAAAATGTACCTATTAACACTTAAAATGTCCTTATTAGCACCTGAAATGTACATATTAGCACCTCAACTGGACAAAAGTTTACCTTTTGAAAAGGTACAGCCCCAGTGACATCTTTTGTACCTTTTTTTCTGAGAGTGAAAAATCACTGTAAAGCTGCTTTGAAACAATCAATATGGTTATAAACGCTATATAAATGAAGATGACGTGACTACTAGGGGGCTCTGGGGGTTGCTATATGGTTGCTAGGGTGTCAGGTAAGGGCTGGCCTCCTTCAATTCAAGTTCTGTTTAATTTATGATAATGTGCACCAGTTAATTGTGCATTAAACTAAGTATTAATAGCTACAATGCGCTTAGCAATGATAACGATGATGCATTAATAATTGAAAATAAATGAAAGGATGTCTGTGACCTGTCTCATGTTAGACCCTCGTCCCAGCGTGGAGCAGCGCTGATTGAACCCCCCATCAGTGTCCCAGTTCTGCAGACCCGCGTCCCCTGATGCCATCAAACAGTCCAGGTTATCCAGGCTGCGATTGGTGGAGACCTCGCATAGAGGCGGCATACAGCTGAGAGGAATGCAAACACAAGAGCATCAGTGCACGATCACAACGCATTCAACGGGAATTCCCTTTTTCCAATCAGCCAATAAAGTGACTTTATTTTTAGTAGCATCATCGACGAGGTGAGAGAGCCAGGTGCAGGACATTAGGAATTAAATAAACAAAATAAAAATATAGCTGCGAGCAGCGATGGCGGGCCCAAGCCGGTGGCACCGCAACCCCGGTTCCTTTAGTTACCTAAAGGCACCCGGGTAGCGGTGCCGAAGGCTTTGGCCCTTTTATGATTAAATGTTAAAACGGCTTGCCATACTCTGTCATTTCGACTAGTCACAATTATGTTACAGATGTCTTAAATGATAATACAAACTATCCAAAATGTAATTACGAATAGACAGAAAGACGTTGTTGATATCTACAATGTTAATTCCGGACAGGCAAACTTAGCTTTTAAATGTTAAAAGGGCTTGCCATACAGGGACGTAGGCTCAGAGAGAGGCTCACCATATTCAAACCAAAATATCTGACTTCCTCTTGGTCCGAGCTAATGACTATGTATTAGAAAGTTGTCCGGCTTGAGGAGTACAATGTATATACCGATTTTTGTAACTGTAGATAAAACTAACAACCCCACTTTTGTCAAAAGGTGGCGCTATTTAGTCCTTGCACATTGCCCGTTTCTGAAACTTTGCACGTCTACTGGCTAATAAATGTGATGTATCTGTTGAGTTTCAAGCAATTTCAATTTCAATTTGACTGTTGAAAAGAAGTGCGCCGATTAGATACTCAGGATCGGTATCGGCTCTGACACTGCCATCTTTGACGAGGCTGATTCAAATTCTATATTGTGCATATACTATTCTGTTAGGCACAAAGGCACAAAAACTTTCTAAAGTACCATAAAGTTTTTGTGTACTGTATTATTAGTGTTCTGAAGCTATTATGTGATATAGAAATTAATATTTAAGTCATTAAATTCAAGAACACAAACTTTTCCCTCTCTGCGCCTGTCAGTCATTCTCCATTCAGCATTCAAACAGCACGTCACATTCGGTTACAGTCAATGATGAAACGATCTTCAATGATTCAATGTTAATCCTATTATACTGGATCTTTAAGATAAAGGTCTAAAGGTCTATATTTTCGAATGAAGAAACTTTTTCTTGCTGGACTTTATTGCTGTAACTTAATCGTGTTACTTTCTACCGGGTGTCGGACGCTGTCGGTTAGATCACAACACTAGAGTCAGAGCACTATAATTGTTCTTCACGCACACAGTAACTGAAATTTAAAACCTTTAAAAGAAAAGGCTCAATAAACTATTGCATAGATAGATAATGTATAATACACTGTTCATAAATATGTATTTCCTTTGTGCTTTGAACTTTTCAATACGGACTCAATGCGCTGTAACTTCATGTGGCTTCAAGCACATCATTCTCCGCTCGGGATGCACATAAGTGCTTTGTGCTGCACCGTATTGGAGCCGTAATATCATAATGCAGTGACGTAATGACAGATTATTAATTGCCTTTCAATTATATGTTGCTTTATGGCAGCCATGGCTATATTTTTTTTTAATGATTTTTGTTATCTTGTTTTTCATGAATGTATTTTTCAAAAATAAGAGCAATGTGTATTATCTATTATTAATATGGTTTATAATAGCATTTTTGTCATAGATTATGACAAAGTAATCATATGATCCACCAGCGAGGAACCAGCAGAACAGAGTGAACATTCTTTCTGTTTAGTTCAATCCTACTTAATAGGAATTTATTTAAAATGCTCGCTCTACTCCACACCATTAATGTCTTGTGCGGACATCCGTATTTTGACTTTCGGTTTTAAGTAAGCGATTTAAAAGCTCCCAAGTCCCAGCGGAGTCACACGTTGATTAACCGGTGGGAATATACACAATAGGCCTACCTGATATTGAACACAAGAGGGCAGTATAGCACTACGTATGACTCAGATTATTATTTTTTATGAATTTTACAACAATTCTGGCTGTTTTTGAACGTAAACACAATTCTTAAATGAAAAAAAAGGAAAAATTGGGGAAGTTATAATATTTGTATAATTTAATTTAGAAACAAATGATGTATAATTACATTTTTAGAAGATATGAGGCTTTTAGTGTTTACTTTTTTGACATTACTTTAATCTTTTGCCATAGTTGCACATGTCTATTGGCTAATAAATGTGATGTATCTGTTGAGTTTCAAGCAATTTCAAGCAAGCTAAGAGTCCCAAAAGCATCAAAAAATAATGTTAAAGTTTGTTTCGTTGCCACGGCATTTTGAAAGTGACACACTTCCTGCTGCCAGTTGGTGGCGCTATAACTTTGACTCACAATAGTCACATCCATGTGATCGGTCTCTTACAGCGAAAACACTGCTGAAGTTTCATCAAGATCAGTTAATGTATGCTGAAGTTATAACACACATCCTGTTCCATGTTTCTCGCCATAATTTCGTTTCCTCGCCACGGCCAAACCGTTCGAGATATCAAAAATCCCGTGGCACTTTTTCATCCTTAATGTCTTGACTTCACGCTGATCGAGTTTCGTCGAATTTGGTTCAGTGCTCTAGGAGCAATAATTTAAATTACATTGCATGTGTTTTAAACACAACCCTAAATAGCCAACTTCCTGTTGGGCTGGGGTAAAAAGTAAGAGTGTGAAGTATATATGAAACGATGAGATCTATATGTGTACCAAGTTTCATATTATTACATGCAAGTGTGTTTGATTTATGGACCAAATTTTCAGACCAAGTTTATTGACCAAGTTAATCTGATTAATAAACTAATTATATAAAACTATTGTCAATTCACTACAATTAAACTAGTTATATGCCTTTACTTATAAAAAATAAAAATAAAAACTTATTTAAAAAATACCAGGCTTGAGAAATGTATTTTCTTTATGCAGGTCATACACACAGCAGTGAAATGGTTAAGCCCCCTCCCCCTGCACACACACACACACACACACACACAGACAGCCAGCCAGCCAGCCAAAGGCTCAGAGTGGCCATATTCAAACAAAAATATCTGACTTTCTGTGGGTCCTAGCTAATAAGTGTCAATTAGAAAGTTGTCCGGCTCGAGGAGTACAATATACATACCAATTTTTGTAACTCTAGTTAAAACTAACCACCCCACTTTTGTCAAAAGGTGGCGCTACTGAGCCCTCACCACGCCCGTTTCTGCAACTTTGCACATGTCTACTGGCTAATAAATGTGATGTGTCTGTCGAGTTTCATGCAATTTGAAGCATGCTAAGGGTCTCAAAAGCATCCTAAAAGCATCCTAAAAGAAGGGTAAAGTTTGATGCGTCGCCACGGCAACAGTTTCAAAGATATCAAGAATCCATTCACAGGTCTACATCTGCCGTATGTTTACATTATACATATGAAGTTTGAAGCAAATCGGGTAAAAATAAAAGGGTGATATCTAAGCATTTTGAAAGTGACACACTTCCTGCTGCCAGTTGGTGGCGCTATAACTTTGACTCACAATAGTCACATCCATGTGATCGTCCTCTTACAGCGAACACACTGCTGAAGTTTCATCAAGATCAGTTAATGTATGCTGAAGTTATAACACACTTCCTGTTTCACGTTTCTCGCCATGATTTCGTTTCCTCGCCACGGACAAACCGTTCGAGATATAAAAAATCCCCTCGCAAACTTTCATCCTCAATGTCTTGACTTCACGCTGACCGAGTTTCGTCGAATGTGGATCAAAGCTCTAGGAGGAGTATTTGACATTCCATTGCGAGCGTTTTACAAACAAACCTCAATAGCCAAATTCCTGTTGCGCTGGGGTAAAAAGTAAGAGCGCGAGGTATAGATGAAACGATGAGATCAACATGTGTACCGAGTTTCATATTATTACATACAAGCGTGTTTGAGTTATGGACCAAGTGTTCGGACCCCGTTCCAGGGGGCGCTGACGAGCTGCCCTGCCACGCCCGGGTACCATCTTCAGCCCGGCTCTGATGGCCGCGGGTTCTGACCCGTGTGCAAAGTTTCAAGAGTTTTCGAGCACGTTAAGGGCCCCAAAAGTGCCCAAAAGGTAGCAAAATAATAATAATACTAAAGAATAATAATCCCAAGGAAAACAATAGGGCCTTCGCCCTTTCAGGGCTTGGGCCCTAATAAAGGAAGTTTGGTGAAGATTCCAGCAGGATTCTAGTGGAGCTGGACATTGTGCATCGGGGTTTCGTGGGGAACGTGTTTTTAGCGTATAGAGTGAGAATGTGTCACGTGATCAGGTCGTGCATCGGGGTGTTTCGAGGGGAACGTAGGCGTTTCTCAATGTCAAGGAAGGATCCTCGGAAGCCGGAATTTCGAGGATGCTACGTCATCGACGTCCGTCGAAGGACTGTTCCAATGTCGAGGATCCTCAGAATTTCAACCAAGGACTGAGTCCTTCGTTCGGAAAATATCCCATACACAGGAAAGGATGCATATGTGTAGCCTTCGCGCTCTTAAATCACCCACAATCCTATGCGCAGCTTTGCTATCTTGTTAAAAAAATAAAAAAATGTCGACCGTTAGCGGAGTCGGAGTGATAACGGCATGCTTTCAAATGTAAGCAAGTATAATTTCAGTTTAGCCATTTATTTAATGTTTGTTAAACTATTTAACATATCGGCTCAAATTTGCTGAGGGGATTTAAAGCTGTTCCCTTTTACTGGTGATTAACTTTTTAATTTTTACTTCATAGCCTTTTTTGTTGGTCACATATTTTACAATTGCATGTGTTTTAACAGCTAACGTTAGATCATGTTGCTATATGGAGGTAGTTCTGTTAACTCCGGTAATATATAATCGTTTTTGAATGAATAAACTCCTTTTTAAATCAATATTTTGTGTCAAATTATTGATTTATTTGGTAGGTAGCCATGTTATAAGTGGGAAAATGTATAGCGAGGCGGTTGTTACAGCGAATACAACCGGCTGATCAAGACCCCTCTGCTTTAGAGTTTGCGGGGTTGT